TTCGTGCCGCGGTCGCGATACACCGGGAACTACCGTACTTGGGTGCACATTGTGAGTGTACCTACTTGCAAAGCTCTTGTTTTGGGTAATTTCGAAGAGCAACGGTTACGTGGAGATGATGAGCTTTATTTCTTTGAGCTTTTTTTTTGGCTAGATTTGCCCGACATGAATACACAATCAAACAGGTACTTATACGTAAGAGTTAATCAATAAATAGAAAAAAGAAAAAATTCCATCCACAAAGTGAGGGATATTACACATCGAACAAAAACAGTCGCTCGAGTATACACACCTCGAATCTATAACAACATCTTGCAGCCCTAGATTCGACGACTGTGTACAACATATTATATGTATGTACCATAAGAGAAAGCGAGCGCAGTGCTTTTATGTCCATGATATTGCGGAGTCGAGGATCTATAAGGACGAGGAGAAGGAGGAGGAGGAAGGTACAAGTGCTGGGTCTCTGCTGCAGTAGTGGGTACCTATGTATACACATGTACGGGGGCCTGCACCCTCGTAAACCTGAATTTATTAACACTTGGGCACGGGGAGAGATTCGCCGAATGGTTTTCAATTTGTACCTTAACGCCCTTCGTTCGCGCATACGTGCACACCGCAAACACACACACACACTCGACTACTCGGTTTGGTTCCGTGGCCTCGGAACGAGGGTGGGCGCACCCGAGGGGGTGGGTCTTGAGTACCGCCAGAGAGAAAGAGAGCCTATAAACGATCGGAGGGTAAGGGGTTCATCGCGCAAAACGAGAGAGATGTCGGGCTATTGTGCACGTGTACTTATGCCAACGGGGGATAATAAGCGAGCGAGCGAAGGTGTATATATTTATATACTTACGCGCTGCTGGGGCGTCTTGGGGGGTAGGTATACATTACGATGCCGATTCTTATTTTAATGCCTCGGAATCGCGGATGCTTTTTTCCTTCCATTGTAGATACGACGGGTATTGGGTACGAGTGCGCGAGGCTCTGGATTTTTCTTTCGCTCCTCGTACTTTGCGTGCTCGTTACCCGAGTGTGTATTGTACACCAGTCGAGGTATAGATAGCGCTTGTGTATAAATCAATGTTGGCCTTGAATTTAAAATGTTAACGTTATCCATGGATTATTTGTACTTTTCTCGTTAAACAGTTTCAACTTGAAATATTACTGCACCAACACACAAGCAGGTGCTGCTGACATCCAAGCTCCCGAGGATGTTGGGTTGCATTATGTAAGGGAGCGCATACGTATGCATCTGTCAACCGAGGTGGTGTGAATTGTGTTGCAAGATTTTCGAACTGTCGAAAAAATTGGGGCAAAATTACGTAGCGATTGTAGGAATGATGAAGAAGATGGTCTTAACCAAATATCAAAGAATCGATAATTTAGAAGAAGAAAGTAGTCTCAAATTTTTTTTTCTTCAGCGAGTGTAAAGCGTGTTTTAGGGAATCCTGTTGGAATTTAACGTCAAATGAAAAAATCTTTGAATTTAAATTTAACTGATATACATACTGTATGGAATAAAATACACAAACGTATTTAAAGTTAGCAGGAGCTGGTTAAATCCAATTGTTTATCAAAAATTTATCAATATTGCAACATGTGGATGTAGAGAAAATTGGATATACGGTTCAGTTGTCCTGTTTTTCAAAAGTCGCATTTTGAAGCTGTGCTATACTCTAATGGTCGTACAGAGACATTCATCTTGTTAATCGTAATTTCAACCCGCAAAGCTCCTTCGCGAGAGTGGCTTTTCTTATTTTCCATTTAAAAATTCCATTTCAGTCGTAAAGAGCAAGATGCATGTAAGTATCCGAGTAAAAAAAAAAAAAAAAAAAAAAAGAAGCAGGGATGGAGAAATAGATTCACGAGAGTGCAGAAGAAGGCTTACAAGCTACCTATACCCAGAATTGCACAGCTTTAAGGTTTTTTGATGGTGGTCGTACACGGATGTACATATATACATATTCCTGCAAAATGTAGGTATGTATATACAAGGGGTTTGCACCACTGCATCGACTCCTGCTCCTCCCATCTGATCCTGACTCCGTAGACACCTCACGTGCAGGTGGTGGGGCATCGTTTTCCCGAGATTTTCCCGAAAGCCCCGAGCCAGCCCAAAGCTTTCTCCCCTCGATCCATCTCCACGGGCACGAAGGCGTTCCCCGCAAGCTCCGCCTCGCGCAAGCTCCCCGGGCCGAACCTTTTCCTCCCTTCCTCTCTCGCTCACCAACCACGCCCCTCCCTCCCTCCCGCCGTTTCTTTGGTGCTCTCCTCTCGCAGGGGATGAGGGATACGGTTATCTGACGGGAAAGCTCCCTCCGAGGAGGGCACTCCTCTCTTCCTTGCCCTCTAAAGCCGAGTTTGCAGCGTCGGGGTTGCGGTACCTTCCATCCCTTCCCCTCTCCAACCTCCATCGGATGCAATCGCGAGTGTATGTAGCTCCGTTGGAATCGACCAGCCGCTTTTTTCCCGCTCCCCGGGGACTCTCGTGCATTTACATGGATTTTATTTATAGGAAAGTGTCGCGTCTGTTTTATTTCCCTCGCTCCTCCAAGCTCGAAATCGCGATGGTCGGAGTACGTATATACATACATTTGTGTGCATATATATAGCGAGCGCGGATCCTCACCCGAGCTTTTTCCTCCTCCTCCTCCTCCTATTTATTCCATCGGCTTCTTCGTCTCGCTGGTGCATCTCGACCGTGTAATATACCGGAGGTTGTGTATCGCGCCTAGCGAAAAGCTTTCTTTCACGCCCCGATGGAAATGCGATCTCCGCGGGTGTACCACCATTTTTTCTCCTCCGCGTGTCGAATTTCAATGAGATTCCGCGCGCACGGACTTTTCTTTCCCATAAAAGCTCTTTGCAAGAGCTCCCCGTGTGCGGGAGGCAATGTATTATCGCGGAAAAGAGAAACGTAGTTTTTAATTAAATCATATCTTTATTGTTGGTAAACAAAGCATATATACTTTGTCCAGATAAAAAGAGTTGCACTAATCACTAGTGATGATTACGGCTAATCGAAAAGTACGAGATACCAAAAAAAAAAACAGACAACAGCAGATAGCCTCTTTCTCGTTTCCATGGATTAGATAAGAGAGACAGGAAGCACCCCGGGAAACGGAAAGATACATCGTACGAAACGGAAACTCTTGGTCTCTTCCAGCATGTATATAATCAGCCAAAAAAGTCATGTCAACGTCCAGCATGCGCTCCGAAGGACCATCCATTTTTGAAGGATAGAGGGATAAAAAAGGCAAACCCACAATCGACCCAATACCTTCTCCCCGAAGCCTGACCTCCCTCTCTTATATACCGTACACTTAATCTGCCCTCCAGCGATCCTCCGGCAGCGGCAGCTTCTTATCTCTCGGAGGGAGGAAGGTCGGGTGCATGCGCGCACAGCCCCGACCGGGCGGAGGACAACATCTCCTCTCCGGACCAATCCACTGCTCGGGCGAGCCTCGAAACTTCGTCCCCGTGGCCGGCCACCGACATAACTCACCCCGGAACGGGGGATGACGACCAGGTGGGGGTGCCTCCACCGCCTAAGGAACGCATATTTATATATATATATATCCCTCTCCCTCTGCCCGTGCATGTATACATGTGCGCGTGGGGGGAGGATTGCGCGCGCGCGCGTATCACGGGGAGGGAGCAAAAGTGCCGCCGCTCCGGAGCGTGGATGTGTACACGTACGTTTCCGCGCACGTATACGAGCGTATAGGGTCTATAAGCCGCGCTCCCGGTCAGTCGCGGCTCGAGCGCCGCACGGTGCGAACGTTGGGCACGCGAGAGCTCTCGATCTCGGCGAACGCGCCGGGTTTTACGCTAATATCAATGGGGTGTTCGCGTGCACGAGTCTTTTGACCAAGTTGCTCAATGACACTGGATGGGTGATGTAAGACTGTGAACCGCGGTGGTGATGTTATTCGGGGGGAAACAATGAGGGGGAAGCTGGAAATTTCGGTCCAATCACGTTTGACAATCATGTCGGGGGTAATCCCTTGTCTGAGATCCACAAGTGACATGTTTACGTGATGTACGCGGATGTTACGCTCGACGAGCGAGTTTCCGATGCGTGTGCGCGGGTGATAAGGGGCAGAGCTGAAGTTTGACGGTAAAATTACCAAGTCGAGGTGATTGAGGTTTTTTTTTTTTTTTTTTTTTCTTGATCGTCAAATACTTTTCATCCACGGTCGTGGGGTCGTGTGATGAATTTTTCGTACAAAGATTGTTTGGTGCTGTGTCATCACCAGTGCGACTGGAAACCGAGTAGTTTGTGATTGAAAATCTTAAAAAGGTGTCCGAGGTACGTTTGCCAGCACTTGTCACGTTTGACCATCGATCCCAATAAGGAAAATCCAAAGTGTAGTCATTGCGCGCAGATGCGAGACAATAATATATACCATCAAGTGTAGAAAATAAAAATGTCAAAACGAGCATGTAAAGTATGAAAAGCTGCGACTTACGGTGCTTCCGTGTGCTTTTAACGGTGATACAAAAAATAGGAAGAAAGTGACGAGATAACACCTTTTTTTTCCAATCGTCGTGTCGTCTACCTCATTTGGGTGCAGACTGTTTGGTGCCCTCTTTGCCGTGCAATGACGAGGATCATGATGATGATGGTGCTACCGTTCGCGGCGACAAAGAGGATCAGCCACCAATTGCCTCCGAGCAGTAATTTTTCGATGCCGCGCCGGGGCGGGCTTTCATAATAGAGCCGGGGTCCGGCGTTTACCCGTATACGGTGTACCAGAGCTAAAAATAAAGGAAGGAGCTAAAAAAGGTGCATCAAGGAGGAGGAGGAGGAGGAGTCGAGAAGCCGGTGCGGATGGAGGTAGCAGGAGCGGACCGGCAGCAGCTTCCGTAATAGCAAGCGGACACCGCGAGGAGGAGAAGGGGGAGCAGAAAAAGGAGAGCAGCAAAAGGGGGAGACAGGAGAGTTTCGGGCCGAGGACTCCTGGTGGAGTGAGGTGATGGATTTTCAGAGCGCGATGGAGACTTTTGCCGAAGCCTGGGTGGCTGCCACGGGTGGCAACGCCAAGAACGATCAGGTTCAGGTAAATCGAGTAGACTGTGTGTTGCACCCCTCGAGTGCTTTCTTACATGCACATACGTACATACATAGTATATATATATAACAAGCGAGTGGTGGTGCACGATTTTGCATCGCAAAAGGGTGACCTCGGATTTCAAGGACGTCGCGATTCTCCCTTTTTTTTTCTTTTTTATTCCTCGGCAAGCGATTGAGATTTCGGCCGTGGTTGGGGGGCCTTTTTTCCATCCGTTTCCACAAAGACGTATAGGGTGACGACGAGTTGACCGGTAAAGTCACGCATAATCGGGTTCCCCTCTCCACGCGCCGGATCTAATTACCGTCACGGGCTCTTATAAACGATTACCCCCGATCGACCTGTTGGGCGATGGGCCGATTTCGGTAGCACATCTTTTTATGACCTACTCGATCTAGCGACCTTGCTTCAACGTGTTAATCGCAAAGTATCGCTTTTTCGAAACGACAGTTCAAGTCAAGTGAATATAAACAAAGTGCGATACGGTAAAGGAAACAAAAAATGTCTCGTTACGGCACAATTCGAGATTTCGCGGAGATCCATACGTGCAGATTAATGAGCATAATCAGATTATCTCGGTTCGAGGAGCACTATCGGAGCCACGTCGATGTAATAATCATATGTTGCACGTTGCGTTACATCGTAGAAACTCAAACAATAACGAGCTTTCCAATTAAAAGGCGTGGATGATTGAAATTTGCGTTACACTAAAGGCGAATATGCTTTGCTGCAGTGTTGATTACAATTTTTTATTTTAATTCAAAGTATACAGATCACGTTGAGCTCAAATTATAAAAAAAAAAAAAAAAAAAAAAAAAAACAACAACACTTTATTCACTAATAATTGCAAGATGTTTGGCTACGATAATCCATGTACGTACCAATAAGCGATAGGGACACTGGCGTCGATAAAAATCCAAACACAAAGATGTTCTCGTTGAAAATTCATAGCTCCAAAATGGACCAACTAGAAAACAATAACAAAGTAGCCCACAGCTATGCATTCCACCGTGTATCCAGATCCCCGACAAAAAAGAAAGGGAGGGGGCAAAAGGACTCGCACGACAGCCAAAGAGGAGAGAGATCCAAATTACATATCCTCCGAGCGATGATCCGTCCCGTGCATCCCTTAAATGCTAATGGAGCCAAAGTGGGCAAGGGAAAGAGAGACGGGGGAGTGGCTGCACTTGGAATTTTGCGACTCTCGTATCCCCCCCCCCCCTCTCTCTCGCCTTCAATGTGTGACGTACGAACAGTACAGGGGTGTATACGTATATACAGCATAATATATATACCCATGGGTTGCAATGGACACGCGAGAGACGAGCTACCGGGTATTACGTGTGGGTATATCGGGAGCCGACGAGGATATGGTTATTCGAGGGGTTCGCCCGAGGCATCGGTATAGCCACCGACAACCCCTTTCGTGCATTACACAGCCAATTGGCCACCCCCCGCGCTCTCTCCCTTTTTCCATCTGTATTTATCTCTTATTTCGCACTTGTGGGTATACATACCTATACGCGTGTATGCGCATAAACTTTATTAATGGCCCGATTTTCTAAATCAACGTTTTTTCAACCCTGTCGTCCGTAAGTTGTTTAACACATGAATCTTCTTTTCCAGCACGTCCTGTGTTTTTCCTCTCGTAAATACACAAATCGTTGGTAAGGTTGTTATCAAAACTGCAACTTTTCGAAACCGCGAAAAATCGTCGCGATCGAATAGTAAGAGAAAGGCCATTGTCCGTCCATAGCAAGTAATCGTTACCAAGAAAAAAAAAAGAAAAAAAAAAAAAAAAAAGGAAAAGACATCACTGGAAAATAGGTACAAGGGTATATAAAACGCGCAAGTAAAGGCGAAAAATCAGTCGGTCGTTTAGCAACTCAAAACGCAGCTCATCCGCATCGTGTCACCGCATCGGCATACATATACCGATCGTGACTACAACGGTCGTATAGCAAAAGAGAATGAGGGGCAAAAAAGATGCGCTCGAGTGACATAAAAAACGCAGCAGTGGTTGCATTAAAAGGCGGGCATTCATACGTAGTCTATACATGCGCCGCGCGTCACAGTACAGGCACCGATATGCACATTTACGCGGAAAGAGAGTAGTCAAGCGAGGCCCACACGGTATATATGGGCACCTGTACCCACACATGGGGGACTACGTTGCACACATACACCCACTCGAAGATGTATATCATATGGAGAGAGAACGCAACGGACGTGCGAATGATAGAGGCGGAGGTGAGGGTGGGACGGAGGATAATCCTCGGTAAAACCACGCGGGGCTGTATATATGGCGTGGAGCCTCTACACTGCAGCTATACCTACACAACACACGCACGAGAGCACTGTGCACGCAATGTAGGAGGGGGAGGGAGGGTCACGGGCACTGACCACGGTACGGATGTGCCCCTGCCCTCTTCCTGCTTGGCTCATCCGCAACCACATATACCAATAACAGCACCGTAGCTATGTGCAATGTATCGTCGATGGTCAACTTCCCATTGGCTTCGAGGACAACCGATCGCTCGGAGATCGCTAACGAGTTTCAAGAGACACGAGCGCGTGAACCGTGTTTCGTTACGGTTGGCAAATCATAATCTCATCCAGTAACTTTTAGACTCCCGAGTTGGGAGCAAAGGGATCATTTGGAAATAAGGAAATCGGCAGCGCAAACAATACCATGTACGACAAAAGTATAACCACCCTCCGAGGAGAGACGAAAATAAGGGCATCGGGTATAGAAAAGGGCCTCTGCGCCAACTCACGTGCGTGCAAAGTAATCCGTTAAGCCAGTTATACATACCTGTGTACCGGATCTGGAGAGCGCACGAGGCCTACCCTCGTGTCACGCACGCGAAAACCCACCCTCTATAGTCTGCAGCCGATCCATTTGCCTCTTCGATGTATTTGACGTAGAACGAGGAGACGGAGTGGATATGGGTGTCGAAACGATCGGGTTTTCCCCAGAGAGACATCAAAGCTACCACCAAATGTTGGGCAGCCACGATGTACGGTGTATTGTAACAAACGCGGTATGCACATAAGTACCTACTCCTCTCGCCTTATCAGCTGCTTTATTTTTCGTTCAAATTTTCTCTCTTGTGCAATACACCCACGCGTAAATCTATTGTTCCCTCGCGTGTGTGTATGTGTGAGCTACTGCTGTTGATGCATGTATGTACGTACAGCCCTGCTGGTGCAACAGAGAGCGACATGTTTGCCGAGAGCCGCGAAGGGATTAGTGTACATTCGTACGTATGGTCGCGCTGACGAAACTCCTGCACGGAAACACACTTCCGTTTGTTTTTTTTGTTTTTTTTCGTTTACGCGTGTACATTGTATACACATGTAATTATACGATCACGCGTATTCGTTCGAACTCTTTTTTCTTTATTTCCCGAAGATGCTGCCGTCATAAATCTTCGATGTACCGTGGGATATCAGTGGCTGTACGCGGATCGGCGATAATGCCGAACGTGATATTTTGTGGTTGTTCACACGTAAGTATACTTTGAGCAAACGGATTTTTTTTTTTTTTCTCGCTTCGAGGAAGTTTTTGATTGTTCAGCGCAAGGTCTACGAACTCTCGGCGAGTAATGACAATAATCCGCGAGAAAACAAAAAAAAAATTACTTTTTGTTTTTTTTTTTTCCTCAACGACTGAAACGGAGCTTCAACCCGATAAGTATTAAAATATGTCGCGTGATTGGAAATGCACACGAGGCTCTTGCATTCATCATCCCCAGGGTAATTGTGCACCAAAAATTTCTCTCCTCTCCCGATCCCGGGAACCGAAAAATCCTCGCGTTCCCCCGTACATACACGTTTATTTCCCTCAACTTTGTCTGAAAAAGTGGACCGCATTGTCCGTGTAACTGCCCGAACGGGACATCACGAAGATTTTCAAAGGAGCGAAAACACGCTCTGTGTGCAGCTCGTACGAGACGCACGCGGGACCGGATTAATCGTCGTTGGGTCCCTGCCCTCAGCTCCCGATTATTTCGCAAATTGCCGGTTAAGGTCCGCTCCCGGCTATTACGGCTCTGCGGAAAAGAACGCGGCTCTCCTTTTTTTTTTTTCTTTCGCGAAGAAACTGCACCGATAATTACACTCGACGAGCTTACTTGCCACCTCCTCTCTTCTTCGTGTACGCATATACCGGGAGGGGCGCAAAAAAAAAAAAAGGGGGAAGAGAGAGAGAAGCTGAGCTTATTCAATAAATTCAAAGAAACACGCAACCTTTTGACGAAAAATCTCGGTGCGCGTAACGGGGCTCGCGTTGTCCCTCGAAAACGCCGGTGCTCGCACGCGAAGCGACACTGCACGCATATGCACCCGTGCGATTATAATAATTGACCGGAAATCGGCGGCCGGAGCGATCGATTTGCAAAAAAAAAAAAAAGAGAGAGCTGTCGGATCGTGGAAAAGTCCGCGAGTCACATGTGTGTGTGTGTGGGGAGGAGAGCGCGGGACACGCTCCTGTAGCCCGTTACCGGGAAACCACGGGGCTCCGGAATTACCCTGGCGCACACCACTTTGCGCGGGTGGATCCTCTTCGCGGCACTACCCAGTTAATACCCGTGCGCGTCTACGGAAAGGGGGAGGTCACGCTTTTTGAGCGCTAGCTCGTCATGCCCCTCGGCCCCTTGTACGCGTGTACCTGCTGATGATCGGACGTTAGCTGCTGAATGATTGTAATCCCGCGGTCGGACCCCGATACGACGAATCGAATGACATTGCGCGTGAGCATCGGACAACCGTGGCGGAGCTGCTTTTCCCTCTTCCGGTATATGTATACATGCACTTATACGTATATGTGGGCCCTACCTTTTTTTTTCTGCTGTTGTTTCCCATACGCACGTGTTTCTTTCTTCGTCCCCCTGCTCATCTGGACTTCCTCTCGCGCTTGGCATTTTTGCACGCTCTCTCTTACTCTCTCGTGTGTGTGTGTGTGTCTGGGTTTATACACGAGGACG